TGGTGAGTTTGACATCTACGTCAATATTAAAACGAATTTTCTCAGGTTATTTTAATATTTTTTAGCCATTGATATTAAAAATTTAACATTATTTTATCTTAAAAAGTATTAAAGCCAATATTAAAACACGTTATCTCAACCATATAGATTTTATTGTGTGATATTTCAATAATTTAATTAAAATATCCTTGGAATAGTAATAACAACCAGAATACAAAGAGAACAATAATACTTGAAGAACAAAACATGGTTAAAATTTGTTCAATGATTATTTGGGTATTTCTTTCTTAATATATAAACAAGAATATAATGTTAATTCTGTCATAAAAATAAATACACATGCAACGCATGTGCACCATACTAGTAATTAAAAAAAAGATTAACAAACTACATGAAACATTATTTTGAATATTTTGTTTAAATGTTAATCTATCCAAATACTAATTGTATCCTATATTAACTCCACATGAACCACTCATAGCTCAAAAATCTAAACAAATAAGATTAAGAAATTCTACATAGATAACATACTATAATACATGAAGTATTACAACGAAACCCAAAATTCTTTTAAAATTATACAAAATATCTTTAAAATTTTAGAATTACCCAAAACACGCTACCTTTTTCAAACTTAAAATAACAAACATAAAATCTAAAAATAAACAATAGCCCCCTAAGGAATTTGAAATTATAGAAACAACCTCAAAAGTTTAAATTATAAAAACACACTTTAAAATTCAGAGATTTTAAAACTTGCAAACAACATAGACGGATTCCACGAATTACCATTACGCACTTGAAAATTTAAAATTTGTTAAAAAAACCCTCAAAGTTACAAAAATTACGAAAATTCCATCAAAGTTAAAAATCTCAAAATATCCTGAAATTTCAAAACTTATAACTGGTAGACATCACATCTGGAAGTTATCAACAGATTGCTGGAAATTTAAATTTTTTAAAAAACAACCCAATGTTTAAGTAATTGCAAAAAAAAACTCAAAATTTCAGAGATGCAAGAAACATCTTAACATTTGAACTCACAATCATACTTCCTTTAAAAGCATGAGTTCGGGAAAATCTTTCCATGGTCAATATCACCCTTTACTATTTTGAATATTTTATTTAAATCCTAATCTATTCTAATTCTAATTGTATCTTATCTAGTCTCACGTGAACTACCTAATAGCTCAATAATTAAAAAACAAGATTAACAAACTACATGAAACATTATTTTGAATATGTTATCTAAATATTAATCTATCCAAATACTAATTATATCCTATATTAACTCCGCATGAACCACCCGTAGCTCAACAATCTAAACAAATAATATTAAGAAATTCTACATAGATAACATATTATAACACATGAAGTATTACAAAGAAACCTAATTTTTTTTAAAATTACACAAAATACCTTTAAAAGTTTAGAATTACCCAAAACACGTTGACTTTTTAAAACTTAAAACAACAAACATAAAATCTAAAAATTAACAATAGCCCCCAAGGAATTTAAAATTATAGAAACAACCTTAAAAGTTCAAATTATAAAAACACACCCTAAAATTCAGAGATTGTGAAACTTGCAAACAACATAGACGGATTCCACGGATTACCATTAGGCACTTGAAATTTAAAATTTGTAAAAAAATCCCAAAGTTACAAAAATTACAAAAATTCCATCAAAAGTTAAAAATCTCAAAAAATCCTGAAATTTCAAAACTTATAACTGGTAGACATCACATCTGGAAGTTATCAGCAGATTGTTGGAAGCTTAAATTTTTTTTTAAAACAACCCAATGTTTTAGTAATTGCAAAAAAAACCTCAAAATTTTAGAGTTGCAAGAAACATCTTAACATTTAAACTCACAAAATATGAAAATTACAAGCACCAAATGTAAAATTTAAATTTTTTTAAAATGCTATCAAAGTTTAAAAATTACAAAACATACCATCAAAATTTCAAAAAAGGCTAAAATTTGGCAAAGAAAAGAGAAAATGTTTGATATTCTTTCAGTAAGATATATAAATTTGACTTTCAATTTAAAGTTTATCATCCCTTTTCAGTATCTAAAATTAGTCTAAGTTGATACTGATAAAAAATAGCAATTATAATAAATTGAAACTATTTAGTTAAGGAATAAAATTTAAAAAATATATGGTAGATTAAAAGTTAATGTTGCTATATAAATTTAAGGAACTGCATATAATTTTACTAATAACATTAATTAATAGAAGACTAAATTATATAAAACTGACAAAAGACTGAACTGCATATAATTTTACTAATAACATTAATTAATAGAAGACTAAATTATATAAAACTGACAAAAGACTATAATATAATAAGTTAGCATTAATTGATTGATTAATAGAAGACTAAATTATATAAAACTGACAAAAGACTATAATATAATAAGTTAGCATTAATTGATTGCAATGTATAACATTCATCTCTGATGTTAATAATATTTATACGGTAAAAAAATATAAAGAGTTAATGGATCCAAGGGGACAACCTCTCGGAGCTCCGTTATACCCTCAAACCGTAGGCCTGCCTCAGCTTCAACAGCTTATCAATCAGTTTCTCATTATATAATTATCTGCTTAATTCACCATCGAATTTGATGCGTCAAAACTGGAATCATGTTTTTCAATAGCTCAAGAGCATGATATGTGATCATAGATCATTTGGAGATGACATGGAGTAACAAGTTTATGTATAGAGAAATTATCAAAAAGTTCATAGATATCCTTTAAAAAAATCAAGTTATTTTCATTTCAAATGGAGAAGTGAAAGAAATAAATCTAAAATTTAAAAACATTCATGAATCACTTGAACTAACATTGACAAAAGTTATATCTGGCAAAGAAGCACCGAATGAGTTCCCCTTGAAGAACATATTGAACAATTTTGTCCAGATCAAAAAAGTATTTTTCATAAAAGATACAAAAAAATTAGTAAGCGTTTTTAAATTTTCATATTTTATTTTTAAAGTACTAAAGGAATCATAAACTTAATATAAAATTACATATAAATAATCTTACAATAGAAAGTAAAGCGAAGTCATTGATCAACTATGTTGCGAGATATAATAAGCCAGATAAGATGTGGGAAATCACTATAATGGACAGAAGGTATACACATGGTACTTAGTTACAATAGCGTAAGTAAAAAAAAAATTCTTTTTCCTATATAGTGGCATGACTCTGTAAGTAACTTTATTTGGGGATATGATTACCAATAAATGATTAATTTTTAAAAACACGATCAAAGATAAACATGTAATAGCACTGTCAGATTTCAAAATCTTTAACTATGAAGGTAACATATTTTACTTCTAAATTTTTTATTAAAAAGTAACTAAATATAAAATTCACATTATATTTGTCTCAAATTTGTGTGGGAAATATGCATGTCATTGTAAATTATGTTAACAATACATATCAACCCAAAGATACAACTTATTGAAGAAATAAGAGAATGGTAAGTAAACCAAGCAAACATCCATATAACACAATAAAGAAAAATATTACACTTTAAAGCTAATATTGCATGACTCATTCAGAATAAGTTGCTAAAATAAAAACATATCCATCAAGGCTATTTGCAAATACAATACAAATTTAAACTATTGATATATGCAATCATCACAACATTCAAAGAGGTATGTTCTTACAAGACCTACTCTAAAATGTACACAATTAAATTTAAAAATACTCTACCAATATACAGACACGTTGTTGGACCTATAATGTAAAGATAACTACCATTTACAACATAGTTGAGCCGTGGTTCTAGCTTTGCAAAGGCTACAAACAAGAAGGTGGATAGCGATGTTACTAAGAATGTCCAAGTGATAAATGTCACAGAATCACTAATGATGTAATACCAATGTTGAGTAATATCCCTTCTTCATGATATAAACATTTTAAAATTAAATATTAATATTATAATCTAAGGTAATTTGATAATGAAAAATACAGTTATTTAGTTCAGATTCTTGTGAAAAATGACATAGACAAAGCAAAAAAATAATATTATTTAACGCAACAGAAACTCTTATTGAATGTACATTAGAAAAAAATTCATTGCAGAGAAAAAAGAGGTAACTCCTAACCTTATTTAAAAAACAAATTAGAAATACAAAATGTTTATATATATGAAATTAACATTTAATCTCATTGAAACACAAAAATAATCAAAGTCTGTATTTTTAAATCTTTCTGTTGAATATCGAAAATATATTTAACTTCTTTGTGAAGTAAGACGAGAAGACAGAAGACGAAAGAGCTCATGGAAAAATAACATCACAAGAAATCCAGCTCCAACCTGATGTCACAATCAATGTAGACAATGAAGACACAACTCTAGAATTGCTTAGGAAGAAGATAAATGTAAAGAATGATTGATCTTAACTTAATAAAAAACGAAACAGAAAGAATAAAAGATTTGTTTTTCGAATTTTATAGAATAGCTTAATTTTTTGAGTAAAACCAGAAATATTTAGAAGGGATTCTCATCAACTCTTTTAAGTATATTTATATGGTTATGTGAATGGTTTTCTCATATAAAAGTGTACTAGAGTTATCATTAATTTTTAATTTATGATTTATTCTGAAGTTTATGAATGATTAGCAACAAACTTCATATTCTCTTTAGTTTCGCTCTAGCCCACGTTAATTAATCATCTTGGCTTATTGGCTTTAATTATTCATATTTCTTTTATAACGCTATTTTTAAGTATTTTTTACTTTTACAATATTATACTTTCTCAAACCAAGCTTTGTTTCATGTCGGTCCAAATAATGTAAAAATTCAAATTAGTTTTAGATTACATTTGTTTCCTAGCAATTCAATTATCAATCATGAAAAATTAAATTTAGTGTAGCCTATTCAAATAAACATAAAATAAATAAATAATTACAATTCTAAAGTTTAAAGGTATAAATGAGCAAAAACAATCGAAGTAGAATGAAATTCGGGATGAAATTCGGGAGACCAAGTTCTCAAAAACCCTAGGCTTAAACCCTAGGCTTCTCTCTCCCGCAGTGAGTCCCCCCTCTCTCTTGCGCACACCGACCTCTCTCTCTCTATCTCCCCCCGTCGATCACTACCCTAATCACCAAAACTCAATTCTATCTTTCTCTCTCTCTATCTGGTTCCTCGAAAGTCTGATTGCAAACAGTGAAAAGGATTCAAAGTAGCCTTCTTCCCCGTCGGCCGGCGCCCGCCGCCTGCGCCACCGCCCGCGCCACCACGCCGTCGCACCACCTCTCAACTCCACTCAAGCCTCCTCATCGCCTCCAGGTATTCAGGTTTTGTGTTTGATTTACACATTTGTCCGGTTGTATTCAGGGGATGAAAACTTTGCCTGGTTATTTAGGCCAAGAGGGGAGGTAAATTATGAATATCGAATTTAACTAAACAAATCGAATTCTAATTTTAAGACGTTCTTTGTTGTTAAAATTGCATTTTTAGATGCGAACCTCAAAAGTCTTCCATTTTCAAGGGGTCCTTCAAAAAATTGATGCCCAAGCCTTCATAAATTAGGCACTGCCTGCTTGCGTATATAGAAACTATTCACTTTCATTGCATTCGTCCATCATCGGCGGGTTGCCTTTCACCTCGAGTCGACAGGATAGACTAAAGTAAGGCCCAACCAATATCCCTTCTCCCTATGCATTAACTTGGTCAATCTGCCCCTCTGTTGACTTGCCTTACGTGGGACGAAAAGTGGCGCTAGCTTAAATCGGATCTCCTCGCCTACCAATTAAGACTCCCAAAATACCTAAGCTTATCCTTCTTCTCTCTTCCTAGGTTGCAGGATGGAGGCTACCATGTCTAATTCTAATCAAATAGAAGGGATTGGAGATGGTTGGGAGTAAGTTTTGTTCAATTTGAGCTTTGAAAATTTTAGTTTTTTCGTATTGCTATTTAAAAGTTGATTGTTTGAATTGGTTCTTCAGCTCAGGCATGGATGGAAGCAATGCACTTATTTTACCCGAGAAGAAAAAGAGCAAAATTAAAGAAACGGGAAAGGTACTAATGATATTAATTGATTTTTTTTTCCGTTTAATTGGGCACAAGGCTGATGTTTGCAAATTTTAGGGCTTGAAGAAGAGAAAAGACAAGCAAGCACCACCAGTTAGCAAAAGCAAACTGAAGAAAATGAAAAAGTTGCTGGTATGGGACTGAGTTTGCTGATAAAAAATGTTTTTTTCCACTTAAAAAGAATGGTTTTGCCTTAACTGAGTTGTTTTTTCTACTATTTTAGGAGGAGAAAGAGAAGAAGCTGTTGCAAAACAAAAGCATTGAGATTTTAAAGTTGGTAGCCTTTCAAACCCGTCTTTTATTGATAATTATATGAAATCCTTCTTTATGTTCTTATGTAATGTAGGAAGCATAAGTTATGGGATGGGGCATATTCACTTTTACAATCTTCGGGAACAATTGGTCATGTATGTACCTTGTAATATACTTAATTGTTGATTTTGCTGTATGCGGTTGGAGTTAACTTGTATGAATTGGTTGTGAAATAGGCTGACACTGTGAAGGAGAAGCGTAGAAGAGCAGTGCAACTCTCTAAAGCAGGACTGGAAGTGCCCGAGGATCTTTCTTGGTTGAAAAGCAAGAAAAAGAAGAGCATTCCTTGTGATGAGGAAGCTGTTTTGAACCACGATTTCGGTCAAAGTTATTCACGCAATACACTTATGGATAATGATGCGAAGGTTGTGGAATGTCTGGAAGTTGATGATCGCAAGCATAGCCAGGCTGCTGAAACCCGTTTAGAGGAAGTTAGTAAAATCTCAACTATTTCAGATGGGAGATCAAATCCAGTAACACCGCCCCCAGAATGTATACATAATGATTCAGACATATGCGTTGGTAAAGAGCAGAATGATGCTCCTTCTGTTCTGGGTAGTTGTAAGGAAGGAAAGGACACCCGGTCTCAGGTGTGCTTCAATATTTATTTTATACTTATGCGGAATTGGACCCACTGTTTTAGTATGATATACTTAATTTAGTGGTGCCCATCACATATCACTTTTGTGCAACCTTCTATTAACCTCAACTGCTAGGAAGTCTAGTTTTCTTTTAGATTATCTGTAGATTTCCCCCTCTTTTGATTCTTCCTGAATAATGTATTCTGACCTTAATATTTTGTATTTTCTGGTACTGTTGTATATTAGTGTGCATTTGAGGTCACTAGATTTCTGAAGTTTTGCTATGTACAACTGACTACTGATCCAAAACTCCTACTGACTAGCCTTTTTTTAGTATAGTTTCATATATGGTTGTGGATATTATTCATGTTTTTTGTTGAGGTACTTGAAAGAATTTTTGAAAGTATAAGCTTGTAATTTCTGTGACCAATGCTTGATTACCTAACATGCTCAGGAGTCATAAAAGATATTTAAACAAAACAGGTGTATCAAGATCTAAGGGGAGAGTAGAAGTGGATGTGGAAGTCCAGGTTCTAACTTCTAAATCATGTCGGGGGTACCAAGTAGGTGCATATATTTCCTAAAAAGTAACATTTAACTAAGCTTAATATGACACGAAATTTACCTAATAGTGGCTTCATATGTCTGAACCCAAATAGTTGGGCAACAATCGTCATTTATAGTTAAGGTTTTGCTTAATAGTTCATATGTTTTTTATTTGCCTTAAATATTTTAGAAGTATGACATTTGATAGTACTAGTATAATAACTACAAAAGCATCATGCCTGTAAAAGATAGCTTCCAACAGATAGATCCAATACCAAGATGTATACTTCCTCCTCCATCTTACATCTTAGCAATGTTGAAAAAAACGAAATCGTGTAATGTAATCCTCAGCCTATCGATACGTTAAAATGCATATAGTGTAACACATAAAGCAAGTAACATGTTTTGTTGTTTTAATTTAAAGCAACTATAAAAAACAAAAATATTGACACTAATTTTATCAATAGATTCAAAATGAAAACCTTTAATTTTCAATAAATATTCAAAAAAATTAGTACAACGTATACAAAGTTACGTGTGGATGACAGTCCAACATTGAAGAGAAGAGGAAGCCAGGAAGGTTGTTGGCTGCAGAAGATGAATTCGACAGAAATTTTTTTTTTGGGAGGGTGGGGGGGTAAACATCAGCCAACACCATCATGACACTATATTGTTTTGCTTGGAACATGTACCTTTCAATTGACTCTCAGTGTTATCGGTGATGGTTAAACAAACTTTGTAATTATTTGTATGTATAATTTTGATATTTTCTCCCTCTTCGCTTCTGACTGATCAGTGTGGAAGAACTGCAAGCAAAGAAATATTTATATAAGCGAAGTTTCCTTATGTAGCATGTCCTTGGCTGGATTCATCATGATACTTACAGATGCTACTTTCATCTGTTTGCTTCTTTTTCAGGACCAGAATGTTTGTAATTCAATTGTGAAGGACATGGAAATCACTTCAAATAATAAATTTCAACATCTGACTGCTCCTGTTGTGGTGCACGTATCGCGGCCAAAGGATATTGAACTGAAGAGGAGAGATCTTCCAATAATTATGATGGAGCAGGAGATAATGGAAGCTGTAAATGAGCATTCAATTGTAATTTTATGTGGAGAAACAGGATGTGGTAAAACTACTCAAGTACCTCAGGTATGCTTCTGTTGCTTACCTTTTTCATGTAGTTAAAATTCCAAACAGTGGCATTATACTTCTTAAAAATTATTTTCCCTAATCTCTGCTTTCTGTTTCAATGTACTGTAGTTCTTATATGAAGCTGGTTTTGGGTCAAAAAATTGTAATGACCGGAAAGGAATCATTGGTGTTACACAACCGCGACGTGTAGCTGTTCTTGCCACTGCCAAGAGAGTATCCTTTGAGTTGGGTTATTGTCTTGGAAAGGAGGTTGGTTTTCAAGTTAGGCATGATAAAAGGATAGGAGATCGTTGCTCTATCAAGTTCATGACTGATGGAATTTTACTTCGAGAAGTTCAGGTTAGTTTACAGAATTTTGATGTTTCTCTTCCCTGATATGAGTAGTCTCTCCTCATTTTGTTTCTAAATAACCCTTTAATTGATTGATTCAAACTTTGAGATACAGGGCTCCTTTTCAACTTAACCTGACTGATCTGGTTTTTTGATATGAAATTGGCCTTTAAAATAGCGTCATTTAGTGTCACAACAAGATTCTCTTCACATGATCACTTGTAATTCATTTTTCATTTCCCTTTGGTGCAGAGTGACTTCTTACTGAGGCGTTACTCTGTAATTGTCCTGGATGAGGCTCATGAGAGAAGTTTGAACACAGATATACTTGTCGGAATGCTATCTCGAGTTATAAAACTTCGCGAGGTTACAATAGATGTATCTCTACTTAAGCTGCCTAATCTTTTTAAGCATAACAGAAGAGTATTCTCTTAGCTAACAATCAACTTGCATGTTGCAGAAGTTATATTTGGAGCAGCAGGAGAAAATACTTTCAGGCGTAGAAATTGACCCTGACAAGATGATCACTAAATTAAAGATCATACTTATGAGTGCTACACTTAGAGTTGAAGACTTCATTTCTGGCAAAAAATTATTTCATGAGACCCCACCTATTCTGGAAGTTCCAGTAAGACAATTTCCGGTGACTATTCATTTCTCAAAGAAGACACATGAGGATTATTTAGGTCAAGCTTATAAGAAGGTTATGTTGATCCACAAGAAGCTACCACCTGGAGGCATACTGGTATTTGTCACTGGGCAACGGGAAGTGGAGTTCCTGTGTAAGAAGCTAAGGAAAGCATCAAAGCAATTAATTACAAACAATTCTAAAAGAAACTCAGATAATGATGGGACTGCAAACCTGGACATGGAAATGAAGGATATCCATGAAGCATTTGAGATAAGCACTACAGACCAGCAGACTGACAGGTTTAGTTCTTTTGAAGAGGATGATAACTTCCCGGAGATGGATTCTGATTCATCTAACTCAGAAACAGACAGTGATATTGGGGATGATACTGATACTGAAACAACCTCAGAGAAGACCGATTTAGTTCTGGATCTTTTAGGAGATTCTAGAGGTCTTTTGTCATTGAAGGCTTCTTTTGAAGCCTTAGCTGGAAAATCATGCAACCAAAATTCTAAAGAAGAACCAACTGCACCAATGCATTCCAAAGAAGAGGAGACTCAGTTTGTCCCTTCCACTATGGGTGAACAAGCGGAACCTACTCCTGTTGGTCCTTTGTATGTGTTACCCCTTTATGCAATGCTACCTGCTTCTTCTCAGCTTCGGGTATTTGAAGAGGTGCCTGAAGGAGAAAGGCAAGTGGTGGTTGCTACAAATGTGGCTGAGACTTCTCTGACAATTCCGGGAATAAAATATGTGGTTGACACGGGAAAAGAGAAGGTCAAGCATTACAACATTGCCAATGGGATGGAAACATTTGAAGTCCAGTGGATAAGCAGAGCCTCAGCAGCCCAACGTGCAGGGAGAGCTGGAAGAACTGGACCTGGCCACTGTTATCGCCTCTACTCATCGGCGGCCTTCAGTAAAGATGATTTGTTTCCAGAGTTTTCATGTCCCGAGATCTCTAAGATTCCTGTTGATGGTGTTGTCCTTCTAATGAAATCTATGGGCATTGATAAGGTAGTAAACGACATGAATTTGCTTCTTGAGTTCTTTGTTTCCTTTTTTTCTCTCTATTTTTTTCCTTCTGCAAATATATATTTTAAAGTTTGTCTTTGGTTATATTTCCCCCAGTTCACACACACACACACACATATTACATATATATAAAGATTAAACTTCTCATTATACTCCGTTGACATTATGTAATATGTGAAATGATATTATAGTCGTAGTGGGGTAAAAAGTTGATGCGGACCATCTTTGAAGATTGATTTTTTTAATAGCTTACTTCAATTCCCCCAGTTTCACACACACACACACACACACGCGCACACACACACAGTTATAGAGCCAAGGAGAGGTCAGAGGGTGACCATGACCCCTCTTGCCTTTTGGCTACTAATAGTATAAAAGTGTTGCATATTAGTCCTTGCATCTTTCATCTTTTGATATTACCCCCTCTACTCACTAAAATTGTCATTTGATCCCTCAACTCTTAGGTAGTTTCAAATTAATCCCCTTAATAGCGACAACTACTCTTCTTAATTGGAGGGACTAATTTCAAAATAACTTAGTATTAATTTCAGTGATTTGAGGGGCTTATTAAATTTGAAAGATTTAATGGACTGATATTGAAGAAAAAAACTATATAACTAAAAGTTATTGTAAAAGAAATACACTTAAGTTGAGAGCTAGTGTATTATATAAAGAAAAAGAGTTGTAGGCCTGTGGAAGAGAATGACTAATTAAATGGCTAAGGTATGGGTCTATGGGTGAAAAATACTATGTGGTGCAACTGACAAATAAGTAATATCATATTTGCTCATCCCCGGTTAATATAAAATCCTTCTTTTTCCCTTTTCTTATAGTACACTTTTTAGGGAAATCTTCAACTAACTCATTTCTCGGTGTTGTGGGTTTTTGCATTTTGGTAAAAAAATGTTGGGATTCCCAAGATTATCATTTGTCAGTTATTTTTGTTCCATGTTTCTCTTTATTTGAAGTTGTAGCAATATGTAATGAATTTCTATTTAATATTTTCATGCAGTTTTTTTTTCTTTTTGCGTTTAATAATAGAACTGTGAAACGAGGCTATATTTCATGTGTTTTTAAATTTAGTGGTGGCATTGTGAGTGAGCTTATGGTTGAATTTGTAGTTTATGATTGAGGAAAAACCGACTACAATCAGTACATAAAAAAAAATCAGAAGATTGGAGCATATTGATTCATGTTGAAATGAATATGTTGAAATGATTAAAGTATCCATGAAAATGTTTTCCCCTGGTTATTTTTTCATCTACGTAAATACGTATGAAAATTTATTATATACTGTCATATTTTATCACTTTTTGAGTGATGTAGTATTATAGTTATATTTTGGCCCCTCCGCAAAGAAAATCCTGGCTCCGCCACTGCACACACACGCATGCACACATGCACGTTACCAATGTAAAATACTTAAAATTTATCATTAAACCCTGTTACACACACACACACACACACACACACACACACACACACACATATATATATATACTATATATATATATATATATATATATATATATATATATATAGAGGAGAGAGAGAGAGAGAGAGAGAGGACGGAGATTCTTATGTCAACTTAAGTGGATATCATAACTTTCTATCCATTTGATGATACCTAGGGATCCATGCAAGATATGAAGAGACTTTATATATATATATATCATATATATATATATATATATATATATATATATATATATATTATATATATATATATATTATATGATATAAATTACTCCTTCGCACATTATGTAATTGGTAAAATGATGTGCTAGTCGGGTAAAGGGTTGATGCCATCATCTTTCAAGGTTGATTTTTTAATAGCTTTTTTCAACCAACATTCTAAGCCCGGGCATTGTAGACTAAAGAGTAAGTCCTGACATTGTAGACTAAAGAGTCATTTCTGTTGTTAGCATATAACATGCACTGCGATATGCTTCCTACTGAATGGATTTTTGTTTTTCTTTCTGTTTTTTCATTAAAGATTTTAGCTTTTCTTTCTGTTTTTTCATTAAAATCATATAATTCTGTTTTGTTACATATTTTAGGTTGCAAATTTTCCATTCCCGACTCCTCCAGACACCAGAGCCTTGGTTGAAGCAGAACATTGCTTGAAAGCTCTTCAAGCACTTGATATGCACGGAAAGCTTACACCAATTGGAAGGGCAATGGCACAGTATCCGCTGAGTCCTCGTCACTCCCGAATGCTTCTTACAGTAATCCAAATTATGAAGAATCAGCGAGCCTATGCCCGTGCAAACCTAGTGCTAGGATATGCCATTGCCACAGCATCAGCTTTAAGCTTTCCAAATCCTTTTAAGATGCAGTTTGATGGAAACCATGGCAAGTCAGATGGTTTGAACCAAGAAGAAATTTCGCAGGACCAAGAGTCAAAGAAGAGGTTGAAGAAGGAAAAAGTTTTGGTAAAAGAAGCTCGTGCCAGGTTACGTAATCTCAGCAGCGATGCATTAACTTTTGCTTATGCCTTACAGTTGTTTGAACTTGCAGAAAACCAATTTGAGTTCTGCCAGAAAGCATTAACTTTTGCTTATGCCTTACAGTTGTTTGAACTTGCAGAAAACCAATTTGAGTTCTGCCAGAAACATTCTCTTCATGTGAAGACAATGGAAGATATGTCCAAGTTGAGGAAACAACTGTTACAGCTGATATTTTACCAGAGTAAGTTCTCTGAGGAATTTGGATGGGATCATGGAAGTGCTGAGGAGGTAGAAATGACATGGAGGGTTAGTTCCATTAAGCATCCATTACTAATGAATGAGGAAGAGCTATTAGGTCAAGCTATATGTGCTGGTTGGGCTGATAGAGTTGCAAAGCGTGTTCGAAAGATTTCAGAATCATCAGATAAAGTACGGGCTGTTCGATACCAGTCATGTGCCTTAGATGATACTATTTATCTTCATCGTTGGTCGTCGGTATCACAGTCCGCTCCAGAGTTTGTAGTATATACTGAGCTCCTTCAGACTAATAGACCATATATGCATGGAGCAACCAGTGTGAAATCAGAGTGGCTAGTTAAATATGCTAGTTCTCTATGCAGTTTCTCTGCACCACTTACTGATCCAAAGCCTTATTACGAACCTCTGAGTGATGAAGTATTGTGTTGGGTGAGCCCAGTCTTTGGACGTCATAATTGGCAGCTCCCTTTGCATTCTTTGCCTATTAAGAATGATGGACTTCGAGTGTCAGTTTTTGCTTGTGGATTGCTAGAAGGTTCTGTGCTGCCATGCATGAGAACGGCACAAAAGTTGTTGGCTATGTCGCCTTCAAATTTATTGAAGCCTGAAGCATTGGGTCAGAGAAGGGTTGGAGACCTGCTGAATGGATTAAGGATTGGATCAAGAAGAATCGATAGTCGTGCACGGTTGAGAGATGCTTGGAATGAGAATCCTCGACATTTATATTCGGAGATCAAGAATTGGTTTCAAGAAAGATTTCATGGTCAGTTTGAGGAGCTCTGGGAACAAATGCATCATGAAGTTCTTGAAGGGCCAGAACTTTTCCGGGGAAGAGCAAAGAAAGAAAATAAGAAGCCAAAATGATAGAAGAAACTATGGATCTTTCACAGAATGCAACTTGAAAAGAAATGCGGAGATGACTTCATTTATGTTTTCCTTGAGTTTGGTTTATTCTTTTCTTAAGGATCCTCTAGAAAAAAGCAGAGTAAAACATGAAATTTTTGTAAGTAAGCTTTATAGAGGGATGCTTATTTTCATCTTTGAGTAAAGCATTGAAAATTTTTAATCTTAGTGGTACTTAGGAGCACAAAATGTTCAGGTGTTGGGGGGTACATCTACCGTTGTTGGTCTTTTGCTATTAAATAATGTTAATTATTTTTAATTGGTTGAATGAATATAGTTCCCATTTTTGTTCACACTAGAAGACTTGGCTGTTTTATTCACAATTGTCAGTTAAGACATACTAAGTTGCATTAAATTCTTTCAGTGTTTTTATCATGCAATATTTTTGTTTCATGAGGTTAGTAGTTGTGCAGGTTTGTTTTCCAAGCAGTCACTGTTCCCTATCTGCGGCACCAAACAATGAGCTAATGAGTCATTTGCCCATTTTTGTTGGTTATAGTGATATTTTGGGATCATATTATATTGTGGAGCATCTTTAATTGAATTTTAAGCTCGTCAAATTTGTTCATGCTTCTTGGTGCCTTTTGTCTTTTCGTAATGCTGTTACTACTGATTACAAATTTTTACTGTTTAGAGGGGCCTTATACAGAATATTTAATGAACTTTCTTCTACTAATTCTGTAGGTGGCTTTGTATGTTGCAGGTGATGAGTCTGATGACCAATCATGTTACTTTCACTTTTGGTGGATCAAAAGGCCATTTTGAACTCATAATGTTTCAAGCCAGTGATTGATAGCGGCCTTCTTCGTGTATAAGGTATGTTGCAATTACTAGTTGCGTAGTGCTTTTAAAATGAGCACATTGAATCTTGCTCTTTATTTCTTCTTATTCATTGATTAGCTTTGACTGCAATTGTCTTTTGTATTGAAAATATCCCAATTGATTTTTATTTACTGTTTTGACAGTTCTGTGATTACTTGGGGGTGCATCCCTATCCTTTGTAAAGAGCTATAGGAGAGGAGTTCAAGCTTTACCATGTAAGGCTATCTAAATTCCTCCCTGAGGTACGTTTTAATACACCCTTTTCTACATTATTCCATGTCCTTTTTGTATAAGATAACACTAATGTGAACTCATTTGTTTTCTTTAATATGTACTGCACCCTTTGATGCTTGTTACATCATTGAACCCTCTAAGCTTGTGGTTTGGTCATTATTTAAATCTATTTGAATTTACAGTGATTAAATTTGATCATGTTATTTATGACCATCACTTGTTGAAACAGAGAATTCTGTACGGCAAGTCCGCAGCTGTTAAAGAATGGCCATAAACGAGGGATGGCACTGAAGGTGAGGACAATTCACAATTTTCACCATGCTTCTCGGTCAGTCTTATATATTTCATTAGTATTTTTGTCATATTAGTATAGTGCACATGCATTGCAGGTATGCATATTTATTTTTTATGTCCAAACATTCTGTTAATTATTGATCATCTTGTTTATTTGAGTAATTAGCATAAAATATCAGCACAATTTTATCGAGATACATGGGGTGATTTGTTAACCAATATGAAACCAATAAAATTAGATGATTAAATATCTTTTTGCTCTAAGAAAAGAATATATCTATATTAGTATATGGTAGTCATCATTTTCACAGTTGTGTTCTCTTCCACTATGTATTTTAGTCACTCTATATTGCATTTGTTTATTTTCTCCAATGTAATACTTTAGTGGAAGCTACCTCTTTTGCATGTCATGCATTACGAGGTTCCCCATGATTTGTTAGAAATAGGAATATAATAATTTTAGAATCCCACCAAACAGAAGTAGGAAATTATTTTCATGATATTTGCATGCTAAGAAATAATTCCCTGGGTAATGATAGAAATGGGAATGGGTGAAGTTGCATTTTGTCAAATTTCATTGTGTCCTTTTTCTTTGAGCTACCCTTCCTTCCTTGGCAGATATAGGTTATATCCGAAGGTTTACATACACTGTCGTAATTAAATTTTCACTTGAAGGCTTTAACAACACCTTCCAAGTTTCTACCATTTAAATAACCTTGTATCTTGCTATGTTCATGAAAAATCTTTCCTAGCGCGCTCCTATAATTCCTAAAACAGTCTCTTCATATGTTATTTTATAGTTTCTCGGTCAAATAATTTTAATTGGAATTATCAAATTTATTAAGTAATATTAAGATAACAAAGATAAAATGTGCAAGTAAACAACTTTTTTCTTCAAAAATATTTAGAGGTCTACTTACATATTAGGATACGTAGGTTACAGATAATTAAAACCCATAGCCTATTGACATAGAATCATTTTCATTGGAATTACTAGATTCATTTAAGTTTCATTAAAATAAAAATAAAAAATATGCAAGTAAACAAAAAAAATTCAAAAATATTTAGAGATTCAGTTAACATAATAGTTCAAGTATGTTACAGAAAATTAAAACTAATCGCCAATTCATATAACCTAGAGTAGAGAATCTTTTAAATACAAGATTTAAAAAGAAAAGGGTTAATTACACAAAACCCCTTTGAACATTAGGGGTTTTGCACATAACCCCGTAGATTTTTTTATCTCATATAACCTTCTGAACTTTAGGTTGTCTCCCAAACCTGCCTTGGACTTAAAATTTTTCTCTCACATAACTCCCTACTGTACTTTGCAGAGAACTAAAATTTTTCTTAATATAG